TGGCGCTCGGACGCTGGGCGCCCGCTTTGTGCTCGGCCGGGCTGCGGCGAAGCTTCCCCCCGGCTGCGACTACCGCGCCCGGCGGCTTCGGCGCGTCGGCGGCTGGAGTGCGGGAGGCGCTCGCTGCTCGCGCGGCTGAGCCCCGCGCACCCCACTGCTCTCCGGGCCGCTCGGAGCCGCTGTGCTCCGGGGCGACAAACTCGGGCTGCCGGGGCAAGTGTCTTCATGAACCCAGAGGATGTCCGGGAAGCACTACAAGGGTCCTGAAGTCAGTTGTTGCATCAAATACTTCATTTTCGGCTTCAATGTCATATTTTGGGTAAGTTGGAGCGCTCCTGGGATTTCAACTCCTGCGGCCGATCGGGGGGCGACGGTTCCCCCCGTGGTGCCCCCTTTACTTTTCGCAGTCCCCGGGGACCCTGCCGGAGCCGGGGAGAGAGGCGTCTGCCTTCCGCCTTCCCAGCTCGTGCGCGGGGGAGACCAACATTTAATCCTTTCTAGGAACCCGGGGAAGTAAAAAGCCTAAGCAGCCGGGCAGGGGCACCAGGCCTCCGGGCGGCTTTTTTGAGGGGCGAATAGCCGGGATGCGGACGGGAGAACTGGCTCGGCAGTTTGCGAAGCGAGCGAGCACACGGATTAGATTTGCTCCCCGTGGGATCTGGATGTTGGGCAGAGCGTGGTGTCATAATGGGGCAGGCTAATCGGGCAGAGCTGACCCCGAGATCCACCTTCCAGCTCCCATCTGATTGGACGAAGGCTTGGCTCCGTGTTGCCGCCGCTGGTCCGTGCCACGCTTAGCGTGCATCTCCTTGCACCATCTCGGGCTTTGTGTGGGATGCAGATGCTGTGGTGTGTGGTTCTGTAATGTGCACGTAAATAACGCGTCCTGCCAAGCTCCCCTCCTTCGGCTGGAAAGCGCTTCCTCTGCATAATGGACTGGCCAAGTGGGCGTGTGGGGTGGAGGGATTTATTTCTATGTGTATCATTGTCAGGAGAATAACTAGTCACCGTCAACATATGTTTCCGTGTGTTCGTGCCTCACGTCCTCCTTTTCGTAAGGAGTGACAGAGCGGGGCCGGGGTTTGGGAACCCTTGGAGAAATGCAAGGGAGGTGTGTGAGACGTGTTTTCCTGGTGAAGCGAGAGGGCAGACGCTTGCACACCAGATTCAGACGGTGCTATGTTTGACACTGCCGTGTGCTGGGCGCCTATTAAAAACAGGATGGGACCCTGCTCTTGTTTTGTTTTGATTCTTCTCTGCAACCTCACAACCATACAAAGAGTTCTCTAGGACAAGGGGAAAACGGTTGGTTGGAAGAGCATATTATTTTTCAGTCCACCTCCTCTCATCCGGTCCTCCTCCTCCCTGGCACCCCGTCTCATGAGAAGTAAAGATGGTGGCCACTGTGAGGGCATCCCCAAGTTGCTGTTCAGTGTGAAGTAAATAAGGACCCAGCAGTTTGAACACAGGGCGTTTTAATTCGAACCTCCCTTAATTTTAGCTGTTGGCTATAAATATACACCTGTGAGAATAGTTGTTGATACTCTATATTGTTTTTGTCCTGTTACGTTTAACCATGTTATTTTATTTTCTATGAGAATGTCTCGCATTAGCCATGTGTGTGTTGGGAAAGAAAATGGACTTTGTGTCAGCATGTCATCCATCCTCAGGACTGGGTCAGATTAATGAGGGGGCATGGGAATAGACACCGTATATCTAGCCATTCACAGACTTTTCTTTCTGTCTTTTTGTAATAGTATGTGGTTCCTGGGAGTATACCCCCCCACCCCGCCCCCGGCTGCAAATAGAGCAAGAGGAAATGATTTTTCTTTCTTTGCTTCTCTCCTGGATCCTTTCTGGAAATGCTTAAAAGCTGTATTTCTGAGTGAGATATTATGATTTTATTGGAACTTGAAACTCTGAGAGGCAAGGACTGTGGAATGGGGCTGCTGGGGCTGTGAGTGCCCCTTCATTCTTCTTGAACACTTCCAAAAGTTGCACATTTCAGCTATCAGGCAACAAAAAGCACCCGGGGGCTTTCTCTGCATTTTCATAGCAGGGAGTGAAAAGGAAATAAAAGAATTGAGGCCTGTTTCCCTGGCAGTTTGGTGTCATTTTGAAGACTGTACAGAAGCAAATGTAGCCTAGTCCTGTCTCTGGATTAGGCTGTAGCAAAACCCCTGAACTGTGGAGTGCTCCAAAGAATTACAGATTGCCTCCATGGAGAGTTCCAGAATAGAGCCACATCTTGTCTGATTTTGAAGGTCTTCATGTGGGCGGCAGGCAGTTTTGTGGGAAGCCACAGAGCAGATTGAGGCTGTGGAACTAAACCAACACCCTGGGCAGTGTTGTTAAGTAGCTGCCTACTTAGGAGATCACCTTATTCTCTGTCTTTTCTCTAGAGCCACAACCCATCTCTGGTGAGTTGTGTCTTCACCCCCCACCCCATATCTTTCCTGTACTGCTTGCTCTCTGTCTCCAAACTAGCTCATATTTAAATGCCTCAGTTTATCAGGATCAATGTCTCTAGCACCTACATTATTTAATTAAAGCAATTCACACCAAGATGTTAGTGATTGGAGAACTGGAGTTAGTAACTTTGGCAGAAAACTTGCACACCTTCATTCTCTACAGCCACCAACCTGTCTGTGATTGCCAGAAATAGCAGGCTCGGTGGTGTGCCTGTACAATTGTGAAGGAGAAATTGCTAGCAGAGACCACGGTTCCTAATCTCTCATTTTCACATTGACATGCAGACTAAATTTGAAATTCATTGAAGACATTTGAAAGTAATAGTTCTTGTAAAATAAAACTGAACATAGAACGACAGCTGTGACAGTTTGGATCCCTTACTAATCAGCAGTTTGACTGTGTTAGCTAACTGCCCTGGGCTCTGGTTTCTCAGCTATTAAAATGAAGGATTTGGTTGAATTGTGAGGTTCTTTCTGGTTCTGGCAAAGGAGTTTGTTGAGTTCTAATATGGTGGGTAATATAAAATACAAGAGATTGGAACTGATATGTAACTGAAATAGCATATACCAGGAGGCTTGTTTATAGAGTGTCCCTTCCTGAGACTTGGTTGCAGACTAATTTTTCTATTTTCGTTTCTTCTTCAGTGATCCTTTCACTATTTTCTTCTTGCTTGCTCTGTTGTTGGCATGGTGTGCCTCCTTCCCTATCTGTACTGTGGATCTCAAATGTAGTCCTCTGAGTCATTAATTATATTTTTATTATTAGAACTACAGTTTCGTGTGTAAAATCTGAATCCTTTTATATAATAGTTGTGATATTATGAGTAACAAAGTCAACATCTTGTCCAGATTCCTTTCTCATTAGTTACCACAGGGTGGTGGGGAAAACCTTGTTTTCCTTGCTCTACATGGAACAACTCAAGACAGCAGGAATTGATTTTATTGAGGGTGTCACCATCCCTGGACACTTCTCAGAAACACTGAGTTGCTTTTAGGGTAGAGGAAGGAGGAGAAAGGAGGTTTTAAGGTTAGCCCTTTGTGGAGTTAATCTCTACATCCTACCACCCACCATTAGTAGATGTTTTGCTTTGGGCCTCAACTCTGATACTTAAACCATTTCTCAGAAAAGTAAATCCCTGTCAATACTCTGGTTAGTTATTGCTATGTAATGAAAGAAAACTTAATAGTTTAAAACAAAACTTCATTATTATATCTCACAATTCTGTGACTTGACCACACATAGGGATGATTCTTAGCTGTGCAGTTGCTGTGAACTGGGCTGGAGTTCTTTGAAGGCTCCTTTGGGTGGGGTGGCCAGGCTGGTGCTCTCCTGTGACTGGCAGGTGCCGCTTACAGATGACTCAGCTGGGGTTGCTTGCAACAGCATAGCCTGTGGCTTCTGCTGTCTGGGCCCAAGACTTGAAGCAGCAGCTTCCAGGCAGGTTAACTATACCTCTGTTTGGCACATGGGTGAAAACCCTCATGGAATCTGCTCAGTTCTACTGGAGTAGAGAAATGGATTCCATTTGTCTTTGAATGGCGAAGCGTCAAGGTCAGTTTGCAGAAGGTCATGTGGGTCATATAGATTTCAACCATCTTTAGAAAATGCACTTCTTCACTGAGCCTTAATTTCTTGTTTGTATATGGCATCATTTAATGGATGTAGCTGGCATCATTTAATGGATATAGCTTCAAGGATTTGCTAAAATACCCACCCAGCATGACCTTTCAATATTCAACAATACCGAATATCATTATTGTCATCAGATATCCACAGTAATTCCATCCTGGGCTATGGAACTTTGTCATCATTGCCACCAGGTGATGATAATGCCCATAAGATCTGCCAAGAAGATGAGGCAAATGGGTTAAGTAGATTTTATCATTACTTATTAAATAAAAAGACCGGTAGGTCAGTAGAAGCCTTGAATTACTTGGTAAGACCAATTGTTTTTCTGTTCTTACTGTATAGGGACTAGAACAGCTCTTGGCTACTTGAAGCCAAATATGCTTTCAAATATTACTTTGTGCTGCTAGTGGAGGTTTATCCAGACGAGATGGCAGAATGTTGCATCTAACTTGCTTCCACAGGGCTTAAATGTCAAGAGGAGTGAGATTTAGGGAACTTTGGGAGGGCATCAAGTAGGAAGCCTTGTCTTATGATTCACTATAAGTTGAAAGATGTTCTGGATGATGATACATCAGCAGTTTATAAGTCATAATTTTTGTTTTAATTTGCTAGACATCTGTTAGCTTCGATGGCAACCATATGGGAGTCTAAATTGCCTTTTGAATTACAGGGAGATGGTAGGAAGATAGCTAAATATGGTTATGAAGTGTCTTGTGGGAAAGTATAGGAAAGGTGTACAGAGCTCAGAGGAGAAGGCAAAGAAGCAGCAACTCACTCATTCCAGGCATTTGCTCTGGGGCCAAAGCATTCTTGCTTGGTGTTCTTGACAGTTGAAATGAAGCCAAAGGGAAAAATTGGAGAACCAAATAATATTCCACCCAACATAAAGTTGCAATGGAGAGCTCATTAGTTGGATCACCCTGTCCCAATGTCCACAGTGATATGTAGTTCCTGGCAGAGGCTGAGAGTAGCATGTTCTTTTGATTTCAGGATGCAGTCTTGCTGTGTTGCCTAGCCTGATCTTGAACTCATATGATCATCCTTCCTTAAGCTCTTGAGTGGCTGGGGCTGTATAGGTAGATGCTGCTAATCCCTAGAATGGTGTGCATGTTTAAAAACAGCTTTACAATTATGATGTCTTTATTTAAAGCATGCAACAGTATCTTATAAACATATTATGATATCGTTGTGGCCAATAAAGAAATTGGGCCACAGAGA